AATGCCAAGTGTATACATTTGGTGTTCTATCGATTACGTTTTTTTGTATTAATGTATTAACTGTTATATTTAGTCCTGTTTGAATAAACTCTTATTAGTTGATAGGAGTGTTTTATAAAGAATGTACCTCACACTATAGTATGAAATGAGCCCAAGGTAGCAATAAGCTTCATTACAAAGACATCTTCACCAGGTATGACATCACTGTCAGCTTGCTGTTGAAATTCCGGAAATTCCTCAGACTGAATGTTTAATCTAATGTAAAAACTACTGCGCATTTTGGAGAGGAGCGCCAAATAATAAATGAGCTATTAATTAAAACCGTTATGAATATGACGTAGTTTGAGTCTGCATATTTCTAAACAACTTAAATCAAAGAGTGAAAATGAGATTGTGTTATCAATCGCTTATGGGATTCCAATAACCGGGAATTCGTTAGAGTTTTTTATTTTAAATTCAACATGAGAGAATTTAATTAAGGTCCATTAAGTCAAGGCACGTTCTTGCTGTCCCTCAAGTGGTGCATGGGAATTGCCCGCATGTTTAAAATTTTAAGGGAATATTCTAATGGAACTCCATCAAACGGTCTGAATTATTCATTAATTCCAACTCCTGAGGCACGTTTCGTTGGCTTCGAAGAACATTCACTGCAGTTAAAAGAAGCTCTGTAATTTAATTCAAGTAAAAACCTCAGAACAAAACATTTGAATGGTAAAATCTTACATTTTTTGCGGATATTTTTAATTCGTAAACGTTTAAAATGAATGTCTTCACTAATAAAATTCGTTGGAGATGAGAAAAATTTCTAGTCTGTGAGATGACCCAGAGTTATACTGCAGCGAGGCGAGACAAGCAATTTCTGTCACAAAGTCGGCGCAAGATTAAAGTTGCCGATGTTTTGAATGAGAATTTGACGTTTTCATTAGAGGAAGGAAGTAAACAACTCGAGGAAGAGTTTAGAGTCGCCATATATCATACGCCATATATCATTCTGTGCGCCATATATCATACTGTGCGCTAAATAGCATACTGTGTTTGTTGATCTGATTAAAGTAAGAGGAAAATGACTAGCCAACATTGATGAGAAATGATATTAAATTTCCTAAGGTTGAAAAGTAAAAACTTGTTGAAAATTAAAATTGGTTCAATTATTCTAACATGAAGTAAATCTTCATATACTGTATTGCTTGGTGTAAACGTAGAGGAAATTGTATTTCAACTTTAGTATCATAGAATCAAAATGCAAAAAGTTATAGGACCAATTTTACTCATCTTACGCGACAAATTAATTGACCTTTTTTATGGATGAACTAATAAACCCTAAAAGTGACACAAGAAATTACGGCGCACTTTCTCCGGAGCCAAATACCTGAAACAGAATCAAGAAATGTATAAATTCTCCCTAGAGCTTACACGTATTTGCACCAACCATTTTTTATCATATCAAACGGTCGAGTGCGAACGTATATTTCAAATTCTCTTTAGAGAATCAGCAATACATTGCCGATTCTATCGTTTTGTTGAACGGAATGGTAAGTGTCCTTGAATTTATTATCACTCCGGCCCAACGTTGAGACCCGGAGCTCAAGATGGTCTGAGAAGACAGGTCGACTTCTTCAATTTGAATTTAAAATTGAACTCGCACGAACCGATCAACATTGTATGAGGCCGTAGTATCAGTGTCTCTGACACAATTATTATTAATTTTTTGGCAAGACGGGTCATTTTTTTCATAAAAATTTTATTGCGGGCTGCATGGACCACGAAATTTCGCCACAGAGTTTTTTATCCCGTTATAATTAAAAAAAAATACTTTTCCTGTTTTTACATTTGTTTTCTCCTTATGAATCAATACATACATACAAACAAACATTGCAGCATAAGGATTCACCCAATTTTATCTGAAATCTTATACATTGTATGTAAAATTTCCTAAGATATTAAATTAAATGGTAAATCATCTGAAATTTTTTAATTCGCAACGAAATAATATAAATTTGAAATAAATATTATGCAGGAATAATGCTTACAATAAAATATCTTTACAATGAAATCAATTTTAGATTCAGAGAATATGGGACTATTCACAGGATCATGCACAGTTCAATTACGTTGTTTTCGTATTGTTTGTTTTCAATCTTATTCTGCACTGTCGAAATTTCCAAACATCTTTCCCTTCAGTTTGGCATAAAGTTGCGTAGTGACCGAGATTACGATGCCATCGTTTGAACTATCGCCACTACATGCGCAGCGTAGCAGAGGAGAGCTTGCATAAGAGCCCCTCTTATTAATTTCAGTTTTTGTGTGCAGAAAATTCCACCCTGTCCAGGCAAACCTCAGGCTAAACTTGTCACCGTTTATTCATAGTTATTGCGCAACGGAGCTGCCTTGAAGCAAGTATTGAGGAAGAGGGGAGCTTGCAATGTTCATAGCGGTATTCTTGTCGCTTGTCTTAAAGTAGGGCACTGGAAATATTTTTAGCTTAACCTCAAAGCCGTAAATAAAGTACAAAGCAATTCATTAGAGTAATTGAAGATATTTCTCGTTCGAATTCGCACTAGTTATTTTTATTTACGGTTTACATTTCCTGATAAAATGGCTTCTTCGTGACAACTATATATTAAATGAAGTTTTATATGACGAGCCTTTCCAATTTACACCTTAATAACAAACGCAAAAGCCGAAATGCCGACGTTTAAAGAGCGCTGGGATCATAAAATTTGATTTCATATCTTCTCTGTCATGCCATTTTTTCTATCTGGCCAAATTAACGTAAGCCAGAGTGACTAACGCTTACTTACTGCGTCTTATTTGTACGTGAGCAAACAACACCGTTAAAGAAACTAAAATATTGAACACGAAAACAAAATTGTGATCGTAACAATATTTAGAGCACATCACAATTAGGGTTCGTGTCATATAATATTGTCTGATTTCATTGAGATGATCACGTTCTCGTGTGGCGTGCGGGTCTTAGAAAGACACTCGTTAGCTCGTCAACGCCGCTATTCGTATCGCTTCCCTTCGTTTTACAACAAATTTGCTTGCGCAGGTATCGTAATGAGGCATGTGAGTAGGAAATAAACAAATTATGAATGTGAATCAAAGCGTCCGATTTCAGGCTCAATATAAAAATTATAATGTATAATTTTTAAGGTTAACTTTCGCTACCTGCATTTAACATGAACAGACTGGCATGCTTCAACGCATCTTCATTATTTCTCAAACACTTCATATGAAGAAAAAGTGCTGGCAGCGCAGTGTTGATGTAAATGAGACGTTCCTGTGAGATGAGAATATTCCAAGCTCATAAGATAATCAGTCTTGATTTTCTGAGTTAGGAAGGGGGTTGGTCCGAGGTGTCAGGAGAGACAGCTAACCGAGGATCGCAACCGCGGCCCAGGCAGCGCGCCATAATTCAACTAACTTGCTCAGACGAGATCTAAATGAAACTTGTACCTGCATACGGGTTGAAGACTCTGGGCTCAATAATAATGAATGGTTGAACGATAATGAATGTTTCGGTTCACTGGTTAAAGTTATAATTTAACTAAATATGTCAAGAGACGACATTGAGAACACAACTTTCGAGTCATTCACTATAAGCTTAACTGTTACCCTGAGTACAAACTAAATGTTTTATCCGTATACTAATATTTCGCATTAGTGTGGTAAAATACGTTCTTTGGTTGGTAACTCACGTGGTGCATAGGACATAAACCGCTTTAAATCGATTAATCGATTATCCATTTATTAAAATTTTCCTTTTGAGATTGAATTCTATACCGGTAAGTTTGTGAAATATTCAAACATGCCAATTAGTCTCAAATAATACATTGAGCGATAACATTCTATGAATTTGCATGACCTAATTGTGCCAAACATGTAAGTAATTTAAATGTTTGGCACAATTAGGTCATGCAAATTCATAGAATGTTATCGCTTTGCATCACTTAAACTCAATAAATGCAATGGGACATCTTAAGTTTCCAAAGAACGTACCAATATTAGAAATGCGTGCCGCGGATGGCGATTACTGTGTGTGGAATACTTGCCTTGCAAAATTATACACTCAATTTATTCCCAGAAAATTTATTATTAAGGAAATGAGCGATATCGCCAATTTTCCGTGAACATTATTTATATGGGGCATAAAATACGTGAGGGCGATCTTCAGTAGCTATCTCCACGTTCAATCTAATGGCAATTACATTTTATAAATTGCTACTTTATGGCTCACATCACTTACCGTCATTAAAACAAAGGAAAATTCAAACTCCTGAAAGTTTGCAAAGAACATTCTTGTTGGTCCTCAGGAAAGTTTTATTGGGTGCCAAATTATACACGTATCATGCAGAGGATATCCATGCCATGCACCAGGAGTTAAGATGATCTGACTCTAATTCAGAAAACAACATACGAGAAATTATTAATATAATTTCAACGAATAAAAGTCATGCTTATTCAAGCTCGACAAGATTAATTAAAGCGCTTGGAGTGAAGAAGTAGACACCATGCCGTGAGCAGCACAAAATAATTTACTGAATCTATTATGCACCGATACAACGGATCGATGAGTAGGTGATATTGGTGTTATTAGCGTGTCAGGCGATTTTGTTTGATTTAGATGATAGGACGGACTATTAATTGGGTTTGAAAATAGAGGGGTTCTCATTTCTTAGGGTTCTCAGGCGATACACTAGAGTACGTGCTCAGTAGTTGCGACTATCTTTTGTTGATGATATAAGGGTTGTGAAACAAGATGCCTTGGGGTAGGTAGGTTTGAGAAGACTACAATAGAGTAAGAGAGATGAAGAGAAATATATATTTATAGAGAGAAGAAAAGAGAGAGAGAATGGGAGTAAGAGCGATACAAGGACAGCAGTTGAGAAGCAGCATCAACAGCACAGGAGGAGCAGCGGCAGTATTGCTTCTCGTACCTGATATTGAGGCAGTATTGCTTCTCGTACCTGATATTGAGGCAGTATTGCTTCTCGTACCTGATATTGAGGGCTGACGAACCTACGTAGGAAGGGCTCGCTTGATTTGGGGCTCTGTAGCGACCACGGCAGCACGACCACAATCAGGGACAGAAGGCAAAGAATCAGAAGAAGAGCCACGACACGGCGCCACGTGTCAACCATTGAGGCAAGAGAAAGCTACAGCATTTAAAGCCTTTTAATTATGAACAGTGTTTTATTGTGAATAATGGTCATTGGATACTGAAGGAAAGAGAATTGTTTCTGTTTAGAATGGATTTTAAGAAAAGAGATTGGTTAACGAGGATGAAATATGATTAACTTAGAATGACAAAGCAAGAAAAACATAGAAATTACGAGAAAATATAATAACGACTGATTCAATTGATTTATGTAATAGCTGAATAAGGATGATCGGAATATAAAAAATTGATCCTAAAATACCGATTAAAATGAAGAAAGTTATCACTATCCATCATCGATTTAAGAAAGAAAACCGAATGATTCGACTGAAAAATGTCTCACAAGATTATAATAATATGTTGTTGTATGCGTATTTGGATCGATGACAAACAACGAGACAGCAGGTTGCTTGCAAAAATGCCTCTTCAAAAGTGCAATACACGAATATAAATCGACTGGTTGCTTTATAAAAATATTAGTTCGTTAGTTTGACGTCTTCTGACGTCAAACTTTGACGTCAACTTTGCTTTTTTGATCACAGAGTGAATGGAATCAGTGGATTCTATACTACTGATATATCTCAGAGACGCCAATTATTTATCTTGACTTGGTATATTGTTGCATGGCTCAATTATTTTCACGAAAAACGTGATCACTTGTGTAAACCAAGAGATGACATTTCGTAAAATGTCAGCATTAGTGTTTTGTGAATGAAACGCTTTGTGCTGAGAATGCAGTACTTTTTAATTTAGGAAGGACAGAGTGTAATTTTCCACTTAACTACAGATTTTTGCAAAATCAATAGAAAAAACTGGAAGACTAATGTAGAGTGATATTGTAACCACTGAAAAATAACCACATAAATTCATTATCCGGTGATGTATGATGAATCCCATCAGGTTTCCCATCAACTAATTTTTTCCGGCATGAAACGAGTGACATTAGAGATCGTACAGTCTTTTGATGCACGCGGTATTGATTTATAAAAATTATTATAGAATTATCAAACAATTACTAATGTGTGAGTAAAATTTTTACATGGTATACACATTGAACATTAAATCAAACAAGACGATATTCAAATGAAAATGAATGAACAATTCTAGAAACGTCGCAATTGCAACATGAAGTAAGAAGCTACAGGTGCCAAAACTAAATATAAAGAAAATTTGCCTTTCAAAATTTCTGTTGTTTTATCATAACCATAACCTCACTAACGATAGAAAAATAATGAATTATGCAATGGAGATGTTTTTTATTATTGAGTGAGTAAATTGTTACAGCATAAGTTTTTACATAATTTTTTTGCAGTATACTTGGATGAAGCTAGGATTAGCTATCGTAAATGTGAATAGTGAATGTATATGTATAATGAATGTAAATGTAAATGAATAGTGAAATGAAACTAGACATAAGAATATTGACAAGACTTATTTCAGGGACGAATTGTTCTGTGTTTACCGATTAGTTGTAGACAAACAAAACAGGTCAGGAAAATTAGGAAATTAAAGAGAAGGAATGAGAGCGAGTCGGGGAAGAAAGGGATCAATACAATGAAATAGTAGAAACCAAACATAAAAAAGGATGGGCAACCGTGGGGGAGAAAATTTTAAGAAACGAAGTGATGAAAGAATGTACAAAAGGACGAAAGAGAGAAGCTGAGCTCTTTGGTGTGTGTTGCCCAAACACGGCGCCGGAAAACACAAGGAAGAACCAATATCCGCCTCTGTGTTCTGTCAGCGACTGAGCAGTCCTACCGAATGAAAGAGTCGGCAAGTCCGGAGTGATGAAAGCAAAGAGATGAGCTGCCTCCAAACACGAGCGAAAACTTGAATCCAAAAACATGACGACACGCGAGTTGAGAGAATCAAAATAACGAAGAAGTTTTCATTATGGAGGAGTAGAAATGGAATGGTCCTTATGGGATGCAAAACATAAAAAATTCCGAACAATTGTTGGTGAAACAAAGACAGAACAGCAATAATATGATGTTCATTTCATGATACGTTCAAATGAACAACGAAATTTTTAATCACAAAACTCGCGACAGCAAATTTGTTCAGACAAAATTGAAAATACGAGGAGATTGAATTCAGAAAATAGTACGAAGCCGAGACTGCAAAAATATTTCGTGGAATAAAATAATCGATATAACAAATGTAATAACGGAAATATGATCGACAGAAATAGCATATTTTGTAATTGAGATAAAAATTCGAAATAATTTCTTTGAATGCATCAAAAACCGATATTGGGAGACACAAAAAATTTCGAAGTAGGAACAATTAACTCGTCAAGAAATCATAACGTGCCAAGGATGAAAGATTTTTGGTCGGCCGGACTACAATTATTCACTAAGCCCAATACTCATATAATTTTGACCAAATGATAGGAAAGATACCGAATAAGTTGATGGAAGAACGACTCGAGATAATCGGATATGGGAAAACGATGCAAGTAAGTTGGGACGTCGATATCAACACACTGGAGAGGGCAGACCTGGCATGGTTGGTGGTGGACAAATAATGTGCATGGCGCTAAAAGAATAAACCGCGATGTTCAGAAATATGTGGACTGCAAAAACTGAATTCTTGTTTAATTAAGAAGATGCGTAGGTAATTACTGTTGCGTGTGTATGTTTGATGTGTTGTATTTGGCTTCAATTTTTTTGTGAACAATTATTATGATGACTTGATTGGATAATAAAAAATTTGAAAGACCAGATCGAGTTCTTTTTGAAAGACCAGGTCGAATAGTTCTCTTTGACCGAGTGAAAGACCAAATATTTTGTGAAGTAATCCACAGCCAATAAATAGAAGAGATTAAAAATTCCCAATATTTTTAATTTAATAAATGACAGTTCTGAATAGCTAATTTTCAATTGGAATTCGTTTCTAAACTGTTTTATATGGTTGTCAGTATTATGTAATAAAAAATTTAATTCAAATCGATTTGTCAATTTCATAATTCACTAAGTCATGAAATGGTCAATTGAATTTATAAAATTAATTATTATTTATGTCAGAGTCTCAGTGAACTTTTAAAATTAGATTTCTCTTTATCAATTATCATTGCAGGCAAAACCGAAGTATCCCTGCAGGAAATGGGAGTATATTGCTTCTAAAATTTAGCGCAAATGAGAGAACGCAAACAAGGTTATTAACTTTAAATATGAATGATTATCACAAATGAAAACATAGAAAATATGCTTAAATAACGAGTGCGTGAAAAATGGTTCATCAGAGGTGGAAGGGTACGGCTGAAGCGAGCAGAGATGAAATCGGAAATCGAATCAGAGATGAAGCGCAGATATTTTGCCTTGCAGCAGAAAATTAATTTTCGTAGCCGAAAGTCGTGTAACTGCCACTCATTTCCTTATATTCAATGCAGGGTGTTCAGTGATAACAGATGAATAGATAGTTTATATTAACGAAAGTGTTGAAGCAATGTGAGGTTTTGCTGCGCTTGAAGAAATGCAAAAGAATACGAGCAGTCCATATGCTTGTGGTTGAGATGAAAGACTTCGCAAATTAGGTGCGTAAAGTATAGAGAGCAACATTGTTCTTTATTAATAGTAAATACAAAAAATATTAAAGTAAATGCCATACTGTCTCGTGATTAGTAGCAATATTTAGCAGCTCGGCTGACTACATATACATTTGTAACAAGACACAAAGTTAACATAAACCACAAAGCCAATAAAACCACGACCTCTGAGAAACTCTATATATAACTAAAATATCAATTATTGATCATGAAAAAATCTAAGAATGAACACCACGCTTAAATTATTTTTAGCAAGCATACCTGTTGTTCAGCTTGTTTCATGTACAGATTAAAAGTTCCTTCAATGTAACAGTAGGTCTCGACGTAATCCTTGCTCAGGCCGTCCTTGCCTTCCCCTTCGCAATGTATGGGACTGAGAATCTGCTTGGCTGATGTCACTATAGAACCCGCCAGCAGAAGCACCGGCGTGTACACTGTGATCAAATTGAACACTAGAGACCGGGAGAATACGGTGGAGGTGCGTCGTGAGAAGTGGTGTAACGCAGAAAATTTGTGCCACATTCTGCTTGACGGCAACCATCATTGAGCGGTAGGTGAGGTGGTCGCGAGTTGTGTATATGGTATTTGGTGTAACGTATAACGTATATGGTGAAACGTTAAGTATATGGTGAAACGTAAAGTATATGGTGAAACGTAAAGTATATGGTGAAACGTAAAGTATATGGTGAAACGTGAAGTATATGGTGAAACGTAAAGTATATGGTGAAACGTAAAGTATATGGTGAAAAGTAAAGTATATGGTGAAACGTAATGGGTTTTGGTATGAGCGGAAACGGGTGAGAGAGAATTAGAGGATATTCACGATGATGAATAGGTGGGTGGAAGTAAGTTAAGGTAACCAAAATTTGATGAATGTTGCAAAACGAAGAAGAAAAGGGAAGTAATGTTAATTCATTTGTTACGTGGATTGATAAGTTTGGCATCATATTTGAGAAGTTCGCAATAAAGAATGAAATTAAAATAGGTTTTTAAGAATTCAAAATAATTGAAATGAATTTTTTCGAGGAAACAATTCCAAAAGTTTGCTACCAGAAAATTCATCATCAATTGATAATCAGATTGATCAGGCGAGAAAATGATAGAAATTTAATGATGGAAGAAATGAATGAAAAAGTGAAAGAAAAGTAAAAAATAAAGAATGAAAGGAAAAGAGGCGTCGTGCAGCACGGTGGTCCGGGATGTGGCGACGGGGCAGCGTGGAAGAGAAGAAATAATGCAATTAGTTAACATCATAATTGACTAGGATCTCATTAATCAACATCATTACAGACTACTAATTTGAAGAAGTTAGGAAAATCTTCCCCTGTATCTAATTCAAATAAGCCCTAGATCAACTCTTCATGTTGATTTGATGAATTATCTATGGATTTTCGCGATATCAGAACATTACTGACACCTTCTAAGCAAATAAACTATGTATTCATTAATAAATATCTGAATTTTCATTCAGAAGAGAGTAATGAAATGAACAAATAAATTTGGCAAAAAAACAAGAAATGAGATCAATAAAAATTTCTAAGCTAACGCAAAGCGAACAAACGATTGGCACAATTTCTGAGTCGGTGAAGCGATTTAGAATTTGCGATTATTCTGTATTACCTGTATTATGCAATAGTGTTGATTTATATTTCGAAAAGACATACCTTTCGATGGATCATTACTAGCATTGGGCAAACAAAATACACGTTTCCTTTCATTTTCAACTCCCACACTATATATATATATTTTTTGCAATATACATTATTTCAAAACATACGAACAAATTTTACCGACACAGAAAAAAACAATGGCATCTTGGATTCCTTTACGAGTATGATCGAAGAGTAACTAACATACAAGTCTATGTTTAAGAACTAGAGGAAATGAATGTCTTTTTGCTATCGTTTCCCTCAGATACTAATTCTACATTTTGCTAGCACCATCGCCCTCAATTCCTGAAATATTCCTCGGTCAGATCGAACGAAATTTAGCCGTTCGTCAAATTGCAGTTGATGATGCAATCTTCAATCTTGATTCTAATCTCAAGAATTTAATTAGAACCCTTAGGAGGGGAACCAAGAGGCATTCCATCTCTTGGATTCCGAAGCTCAGCTGTTACCAAGCATGATAGATGAGCAAGGGCCCTTTATTGAACATTCTGTCTAAACCGAAAGCTCTTCATTGAAGCGACGGTCCCCCTCGAACTGAACCTAAGCACTGGCAGACGTGGTCCAGATGTTATCGCTGCAGGAAGGCTGAAGCTGAGATCCTAATCCAAAGGAGATCCTAATTCATTTCAGCAATGAGACCTTCAGATATTTCACAGTCCATGAGCCTTCAGTTGATAGGCTCGCTGATTTGTAGAATTTTAAAGTACATTAATTGGGAGATGATGTTGCGTTATCTTTTTTATGCGATCTTACTAAATGTATCGATTTAAATGCAGTATTAAGCTAAGCACTTGGAGATGAAATAATGATGATAGCGATTCCTATCTGAATAATATTTATCGTAAAATAATTTCTACTTAGAATAGAATAGAATAGAATAGAAGTGTCGGCGTTGAAGAAATAGGCCCATGGCCTGTTGCCGATTCTTGAACTTTTCGTGACTTGATTCAAACAGTTGCTAACTCTTTGAGTAATCTGGGGTGGAAAATACTTATAAACTTACTTATATAAATTACTTACTTATAAATTATACTTATAAATTTACTTATACTTATACTTATATACGTACTTATAAATTTAACGAGTAAATTTTAGAGCAATTCGTCGTAAGTCACGTAACTATTAAGCAAGGAAAAATGTGCTAAGGAACTGTTAAAAGGGATTTAATGTCATTATTTCTAGAACATTCAGAATATTTTAGGTTCAATAGAGCTTGTTCCAAAAATAGGCTATAAAAATAACAGAGTGGCCCTTGAATTATTTTGCCATCCCAGTAGTCCGTCCGGGTGTAGCCTGAGGGCGAAATAATCTCAAGCTCAGCCCAGGGACTCCATCTGTTGCCCTCACTTTGCCACGGAATATCTGCCCTAAAATAATGTTCGCCGAAATCACCGCAACCTAAACACGAGGACGGGCTCGCCACGGCTCCCGTCCTCTCGTATATAAGGCAGCACGCAGACCTCACGTACACGAGTCTCCAGCGTACGCGCGGCCAGAGAAGGAGATTGGGTTTACGTTGCGATTTTCGAAAGGCATCCGAGAAATTTTAATGAAATAATTTAATAACTCTCATAATTGAAGATCTGAACAAGCTGGTTCTAGCGTGCGCTGTTCATTCATCTCAAAGTAAATATTCATGTCTGAAATTGAAAATTCATCATTCTCAACATTGACGAAGCATCAGGAAAAACCATGCACCCTTAAAATTCCAAGCAGAGCATAAAGGACACTTAATCATGATTTATCAAAATATTCGATTACCGTTATATTTGAATTCGAAATGGTTCCCATTCAAGGGGCTCGTGGAACTTTATTTTACTGCAATTTTCAGAACAACAGCCCTCTGCAGTTCAAAATTAGTTCATGAAATCCCAAAACATACAATTAATCAAACACTACTAACTTCAATAAAATTGAGCGCCTATTACGGTTCCTGCAAACTTCAAATGATGATCTTATATAGGGAACAAATTTGGGTACAAGTCGCTTCATTGAGTATTCAAATAGATGCATTTAGGGAGAGGGGAGATCCCACGAGAATAGCAAATGCTAATGATCTTCACATCGACTTGACGGAGCTTAGCGAGCAGCTTGTACAGTCTTGCTTACGTTTCACATTTGTGAGATATTTCTGTCGGACTGCATAAATTGGTACACAATTAAAAGACTCGGTTGATAATATTAATCAAATGTTCTATCTTTATTCAATATAAAAGTCCTGAGAGAATCGATAGTAGTCAAAGAATCAAGCGGACATTGGTAGGTTCGAGAAGAATCAAGCGGACAAGATTAGTAGAGTTTGTAGCTGTAATATCGCAAATGACTAATGTTGATGTCATGTTTGATGTCATTAAGTGTTTGATGTTTGTTAACAGCATGCAGATGTTTCTTACAATATTTTTGACACGAGAAAATAGAAATTCATGTTAATGAAATTGAATGGTCCAAAACTAAGTTCCAGTTTCAATAAATGTCCATTACTTCTTATGAGAGACGCACGAGAAAATCGCAGTAACTCGGCATAATCTAATTTGGCGACGTTTAGCATGGCACGCAGGAGCGCTGTTTTGCATAGCCTCTCATAAGGCAAGGCTTTACGGCGGACATAACGTGCGGTCCAGGCCTTAGTTTGGTCAACGCATTTTCGCAGCCTGTGTTCCTTAACTGTTTTCAGTTACCCTGAAGCGAGTTGTAAATTGCACAGAGAATTACGACAAGAGATACAAGCCCAATACTTGCCATGGCGGCCTCTGGTGAGCCAAGACTGTCGTTAATTGCTGCTTGCTAGCCTAAGGCCAAAAATCGGAGGAAAAGACCTGGCTTCCACTTAGCCTGCTAACGATACTCATGAAAAAAGCTATTAAAATCGGGGCCAGAGGGTGCGAAAAATCGGAAGAACCTTCTTGCCTACTTCGAATTCTAGACAAGTGTGCGATAAGATTGAAATCAAAACGACCCTTGAGTTTGAGGACTTTACGTAAAAGGATTTTAATAGCTTTAAAAATCTATGGAAAAATTTGAATATATTGGAAATACAAACCTATATTTTGATCTCGTCTATTGAAATAAATTTATCAGGTATGAGAGCAGAAAAGTTGTCGAAGGAGCAACATTATTGACGTAGCAAAGCTCCGGAGAGTATCGTATAAAAAGTGGGATGATGAAACAGTTTTCGGACACATAGCTAAGTCTGATCATGTGATCGCAGTCGTGAGTAATCCGTATAAGAGAATAAAGCAGCTGCAATCTATTAAATTTAATGCCGGCTTCTTCAAAAAATTTCAGTGTTCGTCAGGAAAATGGCAAGATGGCCCTCGACTACGAAAGTTTCCATGAAATTTCCAGAGAATTGATGACTCTGAAAACCCTTATTTATACGTATGCCTTTTGAATTTACTGAGACGTATAAGTAAAGGAATAAATTATCAAGTTCATAGAAAATGGCATCGTAAGCGTGCTGGACAGGATAATAGCACATGCATCGGTGGCCACGGGGGATTCGCGGCAGCTGATGGGCGATAATCCATAAATTTCGTACACTCCTGCACCGGATCCTTCGCCGCGCATCCCAACAGCCGCACAGGGAAAAGAAGCGCATCTTGAGAAAGGCGTTCCATTTTCCGCGTTGACGGGAATTTTGGAGACGGCTTTTCATTTGCGTGCAAATGCACAGACTCATTCGGCAGGCAAGTGATGCAGCCAGCTGTGTTTTAGAGACGAGAGTCTCAATAAAGTCATGTCAGTCCTTCCGTCTTGCGAGGAGATCAATGATGACTTTTGATACTTTGACACTAACTGAACGTGAGGGTGAGCTTGTTGTCTGGCTCAAATTAATATTCGTAGTTTTGGAAATCCAATTTCTTTTTCGTAAAAATTCGTTGCTTCACCAATAATTCTTCTAATTCTTCTCCATCACCTATTCTTTGGTTTTGCACACTACACACGCGTGGTGAGAAAACCATTTCTAACGAAGTGTGAATATTCGTGTTCATGTACATACGGATATTACCATCATCTAAATTCATGTGCATATTTCTATTCTTCGTGGAAGTGAAAGCGGAAACACGTCGGTGCCAACGAAAAATTATCTTAATTTCATTGCTTTTAGATTGACATAAAAACTACTTTAAATTGTCCAATAATGCAGCGAAAAGAAATTAAATAGGTTGTATTCACTTTATTTGAGGGGACTCGATATAGCGAATTAGCCTTTTAAATATGGAAGGATGAAGCTCAATTGGAATATTTCAGTCACAAATGAAGCGTTCTTCATTCATTATGTACATATATTTTACTTTGAGTAAAATAACTTACTGCCATTAGATGGTCGTCGAGATATCCCTGTACGGAAAACACCACCCATATTTTTGATGAAAAATTACAACTTAAAACATGGATAAATGTCAATATACAGACGTATAAAACAACCTTTTCGAGATAATGGAAATTCGAACCCATTACATCTCCAGGATTTAATAAATTATTTTTGCATCTAATATGATGACATCATTCACATTCCTTCTAAGATAAATGCACCACAAATTAAAATAAATGATAGCGCAACTTTGAAAATAATTTCATTCCGAACATTCCAAAACATATTGAATATAATCAAAGCAAGCAACTATATATACTGCATATACAAACACGGTCATGCTGTTTATTATTCCAATAAAAGCAAAACATTCTACATCGATAGAGCATTTGAATAAAGTATTAATCAAAACATGAACAAGAGGTAGTAAAAATTTATATGTAGAAGCTACCACGAGCTACTCGTTAGTACACGAGAAATGCAGGATGCGGTGAAAGAATGTCCAAGATCGTGCTGAAGAGGCATGCCGTCGAAAAAATGGTAGCGAATGAGTAGTAGGGACTAGATATTGAGGCGATGCAATAAGATTCAGTATAACTATTTATACAGATAGCTAGTAAAAGCTTAAATATCACATTCGGAATTAGCCGGGCACGAAAAAAAGGGCAATTTGTTTTTATTTTCCTCGAAGAGTGATAACTTGAACGAAGACTAGAAGAAGTGGGATACAAACACCCTATAAAGATTTAACTTAAAAAGAAAATAATGGCTAGTTCATCACAGATGAATACAGACTAAAATCTTAACAAAGAGAATAGGAGAAAAAGTAAGAAACTCATCACAATCAATCTAAAAAACTATGGTCAACTGGGAAAGGCAATAGAACTTGAAAACTTTCAAAAAAAAAAAAAAACAATGACTGTAAAAGATGTTTCCGTTAAAAAGACTGCAGACTACGCAACTGAGAGAAGTTAGATACCCACTGGTAAGTCTCACTGCCGCAGTTACCCTGTAGCACAGACAGGTGAACGTGGTAGTACCCTCCGCTCACAAGCATGTCCTGAGTTGATCACAGCACCGTTTGTTCGCCTGGCCTCATGCTTGGCGAAACACACGATGTTTACATCAAAATTATACCGTGCAGGGATGTTTCCACACTGCGAACGAAGAGCTTGGCGAAACACACGATGTTTACATTAAAATTATACCGTGCAGGGATGTTTCCACGCTGTGAACGAAGAGCTTGGCGAAACACACGATGTTTACATCAAAATTATACCGTGCAGGGATGTTTCCACGCTGCGAACGAAGAGCTTGGCGAAACACACGATGGTTACATCAAAATTATACCGTGCAGGGATGTTTCCACGCTGCGAACGAAGAAGTGATCACCGAGGTTTTTTCAATCATTCAAAGCTTCGTGTTGGTCTTTTTTGGAAACGAAACGGGTGGTGCAGGTTTGAGGAAGCTATTCGAAGTTCGGTTGGAGCTTCGTGTGATTTTTTCAGGATTAAAATGTAAACGTAAGTCTAATTGAGGGACTTAAGATCATATGATTTCAAATGTGAGGGCTTCAAACGTTTTTTACCGCTAAAACTATACCAGAAGATTGCAGGGTCATTTATTGTATAGTGTTCACTTGATGTAATAGCGTTTGTCACGCCTAAGGGTCAACGAAAAATAGTTTATTGTTCAAATTAATCGCTGTGTTACATGAAAGTTTATGAAATGATTGCTACCTGTAACAATGTGCCAATGAAACTCGTAGGATTTGATGTATTAGGAATGCCGTGCTAAATTTTCGTAATGTGGGTACATCCAGTATAAATGTAGTTAATTTCGTCAATGGGAAATTAAGGTTTATATAAGTGATGAGGAGCGCTAACTGAGAGCCAAAAAATTTAGCAATCTGGATATTAAAAATGTGTGGGAAAATCTGGAATATGGATTTAGTCAACTAATGTTTGCCAAATAAATTTAGAACGAGTAATTAGTCGATGGTAATATTCAAGATTAAATTTTATGGAAAATTGCCTGAACTCTGTCATTTTTTATGGTGTTGATCATTTCTTCTGACTGCCCCCGAAATATATCCAAACCTTTTATCCCCGAAAAAATTCTTCAAATATCACTATGGAATTTAAAAAAGGGGAAAAATCTAATTTCGTTACAGTTATTTAATATACGGACAGTGTTTTTTCAAGCATTTTTTGATTTTTCCAAATGAAATTAATCAAACGCATAAATTTTACGGTTAAATTTGTTGTAGTTGTGACCATGTCGATAAAATGACACACTGTGAACTTTTTGAAAGGTGAACTGGTTTTCAGAGCCCAACCAGTGCCGTATCATCAAATGACAATCAACATATTTTTCGTTCGCGATGGACGAGCAAGTTTTTAAATTTTTGTTACCAAAATTTTGTCTTAATATTCAGTCCCCAAATCTAGAATGTACCATTGATTTCAAAATTCAATGTGTAATATAAAGGGCAATGTTAGTGTCAGTGATGTACTGTGTAGTTAAAGTGTACGTGAGTTTCATGTTGAGGCGTTATTGTTAGACAATGTTCAGGCACATTATCGCTGCTTGGCGAAGAAGTTGTTCTCAAGAGAAGCTGCGTTGGTTCCCAGGATGAGTCTTCACGTTTCAGTTTCTTCAATAATTATTAATTATTTCAATCATCTAGAACAACCAGACGCACTTAATTGGACGAATAACGCCAATCTCGGTCCAAATATTCAGGTCATTAGAATGTGATTGTCAACATCAAACGACGTATTAGTGGTGGAAGTTAACCTAGAATCTATTTTCAGAAATGTTCACCACGGTTCGTTGTTAATTTCAGTTGTCCATTTATTTTATTAAGATAAATTCTGAAATTTTTATTTTGGAAAAAATATCACTGATTAGAAGAAAATTCGTTTAGAAATCTTCATATTCCTCCAATTAGGAGCATTAAATAAGTCCACAAATACATGATAATATGGTCAAAATCCATTAAAATTACGTCGTAAACGCAATAATGCCTGCGACTCTGCATAACTATTTAACAAATACTTAAATGTTATTAGGGCATGAAAATACACATCAGATAAGAGTAGCTTTGTAAATATTGAACAAAACTTAGAATTCAACGTGACAACTATAGTGTATTGAAGTCTCTCGTGCTAAAACAAAAGAATTTCGAGAGTAACTTCATAACTCTTAACACATCAAAGATATAAAAATTTATTTGAGACACACCTAGCTCGTAAATTGAAAAACTAAATGCGATTTAAAATTTATTTTGCAATTTAAATATTTTCCTGTGGGATAGGTAGAGATATTCTTTCAGAAAGAAAAGTTACGACACATGGCGCGCAAAAATGATGTCGAAGGAATTTTTTTAAGAACCTTGGATGCATGGACAACTGGGATAATTTGATTTGAATACGATGAATTTTCATTTCGAGATATTTAAATTTTAGGTGGCATTTCATTGGTGAGGTAATAACCTGCAAGAAATTTCCCGTTGTCATCGCGTAAAAATCCGCTCTAATATGAATGAAAATTTTGACTGGCAGAACTTCCAAAAAAATTATTCATGGATGAAATCAAACTCAAATTCGTCTTTCTTTCCTTCTGTATCGAAAATTTGCGAAGTAATGCGATTGCATTTCCATGTGCTATACTTCTCCATGCGTCCATTTTCTGCTATAACAAAAAGTTAAGATTAGGACAATTTTTTCCTTGTCAAATCTGCAATGATTTGATCGAAGTCCAGAAAGCATTTCGTTCTGATCGGTGCGGCTTTCCGTTACGTGTATGTCGCTGCGATTGTTTTCTGAAGAACCATCAAGCCGTCGAGACGTTACCCTTAAACCACCTCATTCGATCATAAAACTAAAGTTTCATTGACAATAAAGTGACTGCCTTCGGTGATACGACCAGCAAGCTTTTTGTTGCCGCCATCGAAAGCTCAGTCAAGAATGCGCAAGCGACGCTTAAAGAAGCGACTTAAAATCAGACGACACCGCGGCAAATTCTTTAGAAGAGATCGAAGAAATACTACGATGAAGCTAAAGTTGTTCTCTTTGGATACTTGTACGTCTATCAATCTATACAACAAAATAAAAAATATCATTTTGCTCGTCAAAATGTGCTAAATCGCAGGACATTCAGGACCTTGAATTTATTTTCATAACTTACATACTCAGTGCATTGTGGACTCAAATGCCGCTTGCTCAAACATTTTCATAAAAAATGGATGCTTCTTCAGTGTACAACCGTATATCTTTCTAAGACCTTGAAGCTAGGATCGGAACTGTGAAGGAGCTAGTAGACCAATTCCATTGAATAAATAGACTTTTACTGAGGATGTTCCTTACAATATCGCACTCATTCACTACTTCGAACTTATCATTGAGCTCCTGAAAACATTTTATCAATAACTTTATAGTATGTGTACTCAATTATTATCTTTCTTTGTTTTCAGAAACTTAATAGAAATACGTTTTGAATTGAAATAACCTCTACGATTGAAGAGATAAAATTACTAACACGGAATTTCAATATTCTCAGAATGTCGCTTAGCTTTATCTGTAACAAATACCGTGCACGGTTTGAATATTTTTTCCCCGCACCCTATAATTAATATAAAGACTATATTAACATTTATAGGAAACGTTAAAAAAACATCTGCCCGGCGTCAAGTTAAGCTGCACACTTTAAGCTTACGAAGCAAATTTTTGCTCTTTATCGTTGGCGCGCAGCGGCAGGAAAACCTAATTGTATGAGTCATCCAAGACGTTTAACCCTTAGTAAAATTAAGGATAATTTTTACATGAAAATTTCATCGCGGTCTTATTCATTTTGTAATTAAAATAATTGCGAACTAAGTAAAATCTCTTATTGATATCCATTATTATATATATCGACTGATAACATGGGTAAGTCTTTTTTTTTGAGAGCAAGCTACAAATTTACAGAGACCGTGAGAAAGAAATGCCCAGTAGAAGCAGTGTACATGCCTTCACGTTTAAAACCTACAGGGATTAGCTTGAGAATTTTCTATATTGGCGACACATAAACAGCGTCAATAGCAATGGGGAGACGAGGCGTCCAAATTATTAAACAATTTTTAAATTAGTACATGTCAATTGCCCATGATATACAAAGATAAAAAATGGCACCAAACATCTCTGTAGCATATGAATGAATAAATCAAGTTTAGGTTTATTTCTAAAACAGTTAATTCATTCCATTCTTCGGGAGCCCGATATAACGGCGGAGAGCCTAAGTATATCTATATTATTTTCCCAAATATAAATCATTTTTCCAATGAAGCTGTCACATTTGTTGCAATAATAATTGCCATGAGATGTCGAGCTTATAAATTTAACAAACGAAGATGTGTTTTCGTTTAGAATCATAGCTGGACACAAAGAATACATTCTATGAGCCGCGTAAAATAGCACTCATAGCATTTTGGTCTACTTTGAGTCATCTGGAGGCCGGTCCCAACTAAATTTTGTTAGACACACAGGCTACTTATAGGGCAAGTGACGTTCGAACGTCTATTACAAATACGGCAAATTTATAAGCCATCCGACGATTGCCAATTGGAAAAACTCGTACAATTTACAATTTGCATTCCAGGTATTACGCCAATCCATATTACAATGTGGGAAGCATTAGATAATTTTTACTTACACATATAGTTAAAATTATCTGATAAATAAGGCAGGATGTAATGGTCATATTCATTGTTAGGGACCGCCTTTAAATATAGTAATTTCATAGATAGTAGGTTACGTGTTTTGTCATTTTGTTTTTGAGTTACTATTACGTGACCTCTTGTAGATCCTCCTGTATCTTGTCATTGCTGTGTGATCCACCACGGAGGTTATGGTACTTGCATTGTTTATCATGTTAATCGTCAGTATTGATATAATGGCGGCCTTTCTCGTGATATTGAATATTGTTATTTATATTAGTTGATTATTTATTTATGCTATTCTTTTTGTCAGTGTTGCGGTAATTTAAGTCCTTAATTTGTATTTATTTGTTTTTTCAGCGGGGCTCCGATCCTAGGACATGATCAGGAATTAATAGGCAAGGGTCAGAAAGACACACGGTTTATAGTTTTGTAATTTGTCTTCTTGTATTTATCGTTTATTTATTA